ATTCTCTGAAAATTAGATGATTATTAGATTTATTTAGAACACATCGGAATAAGGAAAGGTTTTATCTATTGTCTCCCTTTAAAGTCCATTTTTTAAATTGGCCAAGCAGTGGAAAACATGTCACCTTTCCTGAACACCAGGTGGAATGGACCTGTATTGATCCTCAAAATTTAATATATTGGTAAGAATGGGAAAGACAAGCTGCTATGTTTTCCCTAATAACTAATCATGAAGGAATATTTTCAGGGATGGTCATTACAGTGCCTTCTTCTCTGTAAAATTGGGATTCACTGTCCCTTTCTTTTGCAGTGCACTTTAGAAAAAGCTATATAAATATAAGTCCAAGTTAAAAAAAAACACATTTAATTAAAATGTTCAGGATGTGTATTTATATCATTATCGTTTGTTCTTGACTGCTTGGTTCATACTCAATATATCCTCCTGTAGGAGTGGTCAGTTACTATTCCAATTTTATATAAGTACACTTGGTGTGAGCATATACAGGTTATCCAAAGAGCCTTCAGCCAAACAGGTTTTGAACTTGGGTTCAAATTTGTTGTGCTGTCTATTGGATTATTTTGAATCTTGTTCATACTTTTTCTTATTGCTAAGCCAAGTCTGAAGACAATAAATACAAAGTATTTTCTAATGGATACATCACTTTTGTCTTGCTTTTTTTTTTTCCCATCAGTATGTGTCTTGCCCAGAACTCCTTGACAGGCACTACAATGTGGATACGACCACTGATGAACATTCTGTTGAGCATCCAATCACTAAATCAGCATCTCGCCGTGTCGTTCACACTGGGACAGAGCAGAACACTCAAAGTGACCCAATGGCTCGACACCGTTCCCTCTCTCTTTGCCGGGAACTGGAGCCCTATGGTGCTATCATTACAGCCATCAATGACAGCAAAACCAATAATGTCCGCCAGAGACCTATAATGTTTGACAGTGCAACCCACTATTATCTGTACAATCGTTTGATAGATTTCCTCTCCAGTCGTGAAGTTGTGAACAGGCAAATTCATGAAATTGTTCAAAGCTGCCAACCTGGTGAGGTTGTAATCCGGGACAATCTATATCGTCTTGGTGTTGCCCAGATCAAGACAGAAATGGATGAAGATGAGATTCAAGAGGAGGATGGTGTTGTGTAATGTATTGTGAGGTGATTATCTTCCAGTCATACATAAGAGCTAAGCAGTTTGTCACAGAAAGTTCCAGTCCAGCACAGGACTATGTAGAGCTAAGAGTCATGAAATTGATTGGGCTTTTAATCTGTAGACAGGTTGCTGTGAAGAGCAAGTTTCTCTTTTCAAGAGGCTGGGTAAACCCATAAACGACCCAGGATAATTGCTCAGAAGAATTTTTTATAGCAGACAAGAGAAAGGAAATACATATGCAGATCATCACTTTTTTTTTTTAAGTGTGCACATTGCTGGAAATGCATAAAAGTGAAAAAAAGACCATAAAACATGTATGACTGCTCCAATATTCTGAAGTGGCCATTATAGATTGAAGAATATTTGGAACCCAGATTTTTAAGATTCTGTTCTGAAAAGACTTGAACTTTGACTTGGTATTGGAGGGTTGAGAGTTTATCTGCTTCTTCAGCTTGTTCTATGTCAACCTGAGAAAACCACACATTATTTAGTGGTTGAAATCTAGACCGGCCTGTGTATTAAGTTACAAGCTGCTAAGAGTATCGTTGCCCTGCCTAAGCATGGTTATTTCAAAGGTTCTTCAGGGGTTTATATGTTTTGGATAAAGGATCTGGGCTAATGGTCAGGTGAGGATGTTCAGGCACTTTACTTTATAATCCAGTTAATGGGCTTAATTGTCTATTCCTGTGACAACAGATGCTACTAAAGAATATTTGTGCAACTATGGTTGGGTTCCATGAATACAATCTAATAAGATACGCTTTTTCTAATTATTTCTATGGCTAAAATTGTTAGGCATGCAACGTAGCACTCACCTTTCGGGGCCATTTGGAAACCACTACATACTCCACTATTCCAGTGTTATAAAACTGACCTGTATGAGTTCATACTGTCATAGTCAGTTATCATATGTCCTCAGGAGATAGCATTGTTCCTCCTGTGTAATGTGTTGAGCCATGATGTGTAACCTCTACATTGTTCACTGATTTGTGTTCATTCTTGGCCATCCATAAATCTAAAAAGTAAAAAATAGATTTCTGCTTCCACTGAAATGTGGGGAAACATTCCCTGACCGAGGGAATATATCCACTATGTTTTCTTCAGATTTGTGGTGTGGATTTAAAACTCTCTTCTGTGAAGGGTTCTAGTGTGTACTGTGCTGTAAAAACAACGAAAAAGAAACTTCTTAAATTTCTGAGCAAAACTTATGATTTGCTGTTTAAAATGCTAATTTATGAAATACAGTTTTTAAGTCAGTGGTAAACTTTAATAAATTATCTCTTCCAGTGTTGGAGAGTAAAACTATTTGGACAAGTGAGTGTTCCTTATTTTGTAGCTTCAGATTTTGAAAGGCACTGGAAAATACACCTCATTCTGGTTGCTAAATGGTGGAGTTACAATCCATATGGTGGAAGCATGTCTTTATGAGATGTTTGCATTGGGTTAAGATTCATTTTAGATGTGTTGAAACAGTGTTAATATTTTCTTTGAAAAAAACCACAGAATCCATTGCTGCTGAATTTAAATCATTCTCATTATGTTAAACACTTAATGATTGGGTAATTAGAACCAGGACAAATGCATGTTTTTGTTCCCTTATAAGCTGAGCTCATTTAGATGTTACGAAGAATGAAAAGCAGCAGAATATGTATCTATTTTAATATTCAATTAGATTTTGCAGATCTCATTTACTATGACAGAGTAATACACTCCACAAATAATTTGCAGAACCAGTTTCACAGGATAAGCATACCGCTTATGCTTCTATTTTGTCTCCCATTCAAAAAATTAAATATGCTTTTACTCTCAAGTTTTGTTTTATTGTGTCTATCTAAAATAGCATTATTAATTTAAAGAGCATTCTAAAGTAAAGAAACCATTTTCTGAATTTTAGCTATTGATAATTCCACTCTCGTAGTACTGAACTATTTCTCTTCTCACTGCTCGGTCAGGACAGAGGGCAATATTAGTGCTTCAACATTCAGGATAGAATAATGCCTTTATTTCAGGATAGAATAATGATTATTTCTGTGGCTAAAATTGTTAGGCATGCAGCGTAGCACTCACCTTTCAGGGACATTTGGAAACCACTACATATTCCACTAATCCAGTGTTATAAAACTGACCTGTATGAGTTCATACTGTCATAGTCAGTCATCATGTTGTCCTCAGGAGATAGCATTGTTTGATTATTTATTTAAAGGATCTGTATGATCACCCATTTATATAATGTAACTCTGGTGGCTAACAGGTAAACAAATAATACAAAAAAATAAAAACCCTTTCATACTAAGCATCGTAACAGTCCCATCACAAAACTACAAATGCCAGGTGCTCTCCCTGCCCCTCGCCGCCACAGTGCCTGGGAAAAAGTCAGGCCTTAGCAGCCATATTAAGCGGTGCTCAGGTTATACAAGAGTTCACTTAGGTTGCTGGTTTTGTTTCTTAATGAACTTAATCACTTACTGCTGTAATTAATATAACCATCTGAGGTTTACTATTAGGAATTTGTAAAAAACAGCCTCATAAAGTCATATTTTACATAGAGAAAAAAGAATAAATCAAAAGTTTTAAAAAAGGACTGCAAGTTACTTAGTCAAATTGATTTATTTTTCATGACAGCTGAATTACAAATAAATTCACATTTATGTATGTATGACATTAAGATGCTTAAAACAGCAGTTTTTGTTTTTTTTTAATAATGACCTGGCAACAACTGAACACTAGTAAATCTGTATCAGCTGGATTTTTGTGTAGTAAAAAACATGTTGCCTATCAAGTCTACCAAAGAATTTTGTAATTTAACTGCATAAGTCAGTTGTGGCTAAGTATCATGAATATTCTCTTTCATTTGCGTGAGCTTCAGAGGTGGCTGCTTAGCAAAGCTAGTAATCTTTTACATTAAACCTGTGTAAAAATGAATGACTGTAAAACAGTGGGCAAATCATTACAGTCCTCTTCTTTGGACTGTTTGGCTCCAGTGTGAGTTTAAAGTAATCACTGTGGAAAACAAATAGGGCTGTGCTAACTGTCTGAAAGAGGTGTTTTGCAGTGCAGGAGAACTTCTTGTTACACAGATAAAGAAACAGAAACAGCTTCATGAACCTCGTAAACAATTTTGCTGCTTGAACAGTTCCAGAAAGTGGTGCTTCGTTATGTGCTTCTGTGCATTGCAAAAACCGTCTTTCAAATGCTTTGCACAGCCCTACTCAATAGTAGTGCAGTTAAAAGACAGTAAAGCATCTATCCTGGCAACTTGTGCATATGAGCTGCATTGTGCACAATTACCACAGTGTTTCAGTTGCACTATGCGTAATGCATGCTACAGAACAAATACATGTTAAATGTCCCATACAGATTGCCCATTTGTCCTCTAGTAGGACATTTTTAAAATCACTTATTTTCTATAAAAATAGCTTGGAAAAAATACCTAACATCAGTAGTCTTACATTGCAGTATTATGTTGCTTACTCTCTTGAGTTTACAAAATACTGTATAACTATGTGCTTTTTCTCAGTAATGCAAAGGGCAGATCAAATTAGAAAAAATAGTTTAATAAATCATAGAGCAAGAAAGAATGATAGAGTGATAAAATCCTGCAGAATAATAAAAGCGCTCTCTCTCTCTCTCTCTCTCTCTCTCTCTCTCTCTCTCTCTCTCTCTCTCTCTCTCTCTCTCTCTCTCTCTCTCTCTCTCTCTCTCTCTCTCTCTCTCTCTCTCTCTCTCTCTCTCTCTCTCTCTCTCTCTCTCTCTCTCTCTCTCTCTCTCTCTCTCTCTCTCTCTCTCTCTCTCTCTCTCTCTCTCTCTCTCTCTATATATATATATATATAAAACAGGCTAGAAAGCCTGACTGAAACAATATTAGAATTTTACCACACAAGCTGCTTCAGGTATCACTGAGTTCTTCAAAAACAAGCACTAGTATGTTCAATGGTATTCAGAAATGGACTGGCAGTTTGTTAGCTCTTTGAATTGGTGCGAAGGTCCTCATGACCACCTCCAATTCATAACTTAGCAGCTGTATTGTGTAACTCAGGTTTCAATTAAGATTCCAAGGGCTGCCTCCTGACTAGTATATTACAATAACCTAATGTGAAGATAGAGTGTAGGTGGATCCCCTTAACTCAAGGGTGGGGAGTCTGGGGCTTTCCAGAGTTCACTGAGCTACAACTTCTGGCACCCCTACTCTCTATTCTTCTGCATTCACATTACTCAAGTTCAGTAGCATCTGAAGGAACAGCATTTCCTTACACCAAGTGGTGGAAAGACTGAGTGGCATTAGGGCCAGTTGGGACTCCAAAAGAACTCCTGGAGTTCATGTAGATATTCTTTAGAAGTGGACCACACCCAAAATGAGCACAGGCTGAACATCTCCCTATCAGATAAGCTGTCCATCAAGAGACTACCTTCCCTCTGGAGTTTCCATTTTGTCAATTATTCTAGAGCTTAATGCATATATATAATAGCTTAATTTCAGAATTTTCCAGATTTTTATTCTGGTGTTATTTAGAGGTTGCTCAGATGATCTGAGCTGCATCAATACTTCCAATCTCATTTTTTGATTTAACTTTTAAGACTCATTGCCCCCTATTGTTGCAGACATAGTTGTATCTATTTTCAGCTTCTGCTACTCTTTCTTGTCTTCCTTCTTGTTACTTTCTGCTTGCTTGCCAGCAGAGGGCCAATTATATTTACAAGTCTTCCTGCACATCATTGCTATTGTTTAGGCTAGGCAAGAGAAGAGTGAAGAATTGGGTAATAATGGTATAGTGAGGAACAGTACACCCTATACTGAATAATAAGTCCTTGCCTTGGGCTCAAGAATATAAGTTCACGTCTCTGGCATTGCACATGATTCATTCAATAGAGCAAGTAGTAATGGCTAGTGGTTTTCTGCATAGCAGGTATGAGTAATCCCAAAAAGTTGATCAGATTAGAAAGATTAACAAAATTAGTTCTACTTTTTCATCCAATTCTTGGTATTCTATTCCTGTACAACAGGGTTGGAAACAATGGCTACTTTTTAACTAAGAAGGACTGCTAACTTGCGAAAAAAAATAAACTCTTGTAAGGGCTGGAAACTACAAAAGACAAAGCCACAGCCAAAACAGAGTAATTGAACTTTATTCTATCTCCTTCCATTTCCGTTTACCTTATAATTCATTTCTGAAATAAAGTTTGAAGTCAAGAATGAAAGGAGGTAACTCCAGCCTAGATCAAGTTGGAGAGGGTAGGTAGGTAATACCTTCTTTTGTCTTTGTAACATCGGTCAAAACAAAATGTTCTTAGTAGGCATAGGGACAAGTCTTCATTTCTGAAGAAGTTACATTTACTTCTGTTTAAGGTAAGCTAACTATCCTGCATGTTTTGATATTCATCCCCATCCCCAACCAAACTAATTCAGATAGTTTTTATCTTCCAGGGTCAAAAAGATCTGACCCAAAGTAATTTGCACTTATTCTTTAATCCCATCTAATACATAAACATTGAAAAAACAGTAATATTTAAATGCAACAATCATTTAAATCAATGTGGGAGTAAGTTTGATTTAATTTGATAGTCCTTAATTCAGAATAGAATATGTAAGATTGTATTGTAAAGTATTCATTAGTAACAAGTGAACGTATATCTAAATTTTAGCTAACAGACTGGTTTTTACTATTGAAAATCACAGTATTTTATTTATTTATTGGGATTTTTATGCCAGTCCAATACAGAGGGACAGTGAGTGGCTTATATTCCCTTCTTTCAGTAAGAATATTCAAATAGCAAAACAATTAATGCCAAGTAATTTGTATGTTTTGAAATGGTCATGCCAAATGGGAGAAAAATGGAGTTGCTACTTCTTGAAGCTTTTCTTTTTAACTTGAGGAGAATTAGACTTATTTTTTTCCTTACAAGTCCAGCATTTTTCCTCTCTAAGATGGGTGGACAACTCTTGGCCCATCCCAGCACTCATGCCAAAAGAGTGGCAAAATGATAGAATTTGAGCTATTTTTCCAGGTTTGGAGGTTGTTTCAAGGATGAGAATGAGAGCAGCTTGCCTCGAGGAGACTTCCCATAACCATCCTCCTCCTCCTCCTCCTGCCAAAGGCCCCCCACCTCTTCCAATGATGTCCCCTTTCGACTTGGTTATCTGCTGTGGCTCTTCAGAAGGTCAGGATGTAGCCTGCCCACTTCAGAAGGTCAGGATGTAGCTATAAGAAGTGACTGTGGAATGGCAGGTCACAATGGGAATGCCTCTACTTCTTTCTCTTCCTGTCCTTGCCCTGCAAACCCCCCCATATAGTTCCAAAAGTTGTTGGTCTGATTCTTTTCCCTTTCACATATTATATTTTATAGGTTTGATAGCGCGTAGAAGGTGTGCAGAGAAAAGAAAATAAGTCCATCTGCCTTTTTAAGCCTTGTTATCTGCGACTGGCGCATAGCAATCTCTCACATTCTGCAAATTTGATGTGATGATTCCTATATACCCTACTTAAACTAACAACAGTGATAAAGCCCTCCTGCCAATAGTTAGAATCAGGTAAAATGGAGCATTTGGAAATCTGCTCTTGGTGCAGGGCACGACCCCAGTCTGTGACTTACGTATGAATGTTGTTTTCTGATTCAAAAGCCTCAAGAAGGGATGGAGTTGCATGAAATCCAAGTCTAATCTTAGTTGGTATTTAATCATCAAAAAGGCCCAGCACACAAACCCCTAACAAAATTGGTAATTGTTGCTGTTAAGAAGAGGTTGCTCCACATCTCCTGACTCACAGGATTCTTCGAAGTAGCTGGCAGGCTCACATCCGCTGTCCTCCTCCTCTCTGGGGCAGGGCAAGTTTGTATAATCCTTCATAAAGAGGAGGAGAGGAGAGGGGTGGAGGGGGAGAAATACAAACATACTTCAGAGTCTGAAATCTGTTGTTATCTTGAAAAATGTAAATTAAATTTAAACTTTAATTAAGATTAATTTACTCTGGCCTTGAGGACAATGTTGCATTATTTATATATTTATCTACATAGAGTACCCAAGCCATTGCGTACGTCCCTTTGTCTCCTTTTCATTTTACCATGCATACGAGTGACTGTGTTCGGGTGTGTATATGCAGGGCAGTGTAAGGTTTTAGGTTTTTTTTCCCCAATTCATTGCTCCCCACTATATCTTGCATACAGAAAGTTTCCTGCCTCATCTCAGTGAAAAGCTGCTGTGAGTCTTTTGGCTAGCAGATGGACTTTCTTCCCAAAGTGCCATCCACCTGACATCCCCGGGTTGCGGGGGGGGGGGCAAAGGTGCAAAACATACAGCTCACCAGCACCTTTCAAGAATGGGTAGGATCAACATATATGGTCTTTTTTTGTTCTCCAGGAAGCAGCAGTGTTTGAAGGCTTGCTGAGTTGAAGACACAGTTTTGACCCTTAAGAACCCTGGCAACCTCCCTCCCCAAATGGAGATCCTGGCCCCACTCATTTTGGGAATGCAGCTCCTGCCAAGCCATGCAAAGCCTTGAGGTTCTGCACCCCTTGAATCAAGCTCAGCTGCTTGCCCAGGTACGCTCTGAAATATACTTGTGGATAACCGAATGACTACTATTGTTTCTATAGTTAATTCTGAGCCTTGAATGAGGCCAAATAATAATTTAATGCAGGGAGATGAAAAATGATCCGTCTCCAAGGATGTGTTTATGGGGGCAATTTCCCATAAATGCTTTTATAACAAAATCAAAAGATGAGACAGAACAGACTTTGAACCAGCTTCTTGTTTTTGGATTTTTTATAATAAATCATTCACCTGCTCCTTAATGGCATCCAGCTGTTTCTGAATTAAGGTGCAGATTTGACTGAAGGTAGGCCGCTGAGTGGGCTCCAATTCCCAGCATGCCGTCATTATGTTGTACCTGTATTGGAGACATGGGTGGTGGGCGGGGAAGGTAAATCTTTTTAGAAACAACTTGCATGACGATCTGTGACAACAGATTGGACAGTCACTGGCCTATAATTCTGGCTGAGAATCTGCATCTTTGATCCCCAACCCCTGGACACCATTGTGCCATCTTATACCTCCGTTGGCATGGTTCAACTCCATGACCCATCTGGGATTTTTTTTTTAAAAGAATGTTTTAATCATGAATGAATGAATGAATGGGAAATTAGCAAGCTGTAAAGTAAAGCAACAGACTTCTGTGTACTGTCTGTAGCCCAGAGGAATTCCTACAAATAAAGGCAAGGTGGGGCTATAGACTAGTGCTTAGCTTAGAAATGTGTCCACCTGCCCAGAAACCCTCCCCATAGATGATAGACTACATTCTGGGAGGTTGGGAGTCACATTCTCACAAATTTGCCTTCTGTTACCTGGGTCATCACTGGCTCAGGCCCATCATATCAGCCCAAATATGCTTTCCAGAAATGCCTTCTGGCCTCAAAGGATTGGGGATCCCCCTCCTGCAATGTCCTTTAGTCTTGATTTTTTTTTAAAAAAAAAAACCTTTAGAGCATACTTTGGAATGCCACAACACTTGTATAATGTCTGATAATAAAGAATCCTCCCTCCGCATAGACTCCTGATTGCTTTGGTTTTAGAAAGGAAACAAAATATAGAAGTACACTAACAGGAAATTAATTAGCTCCATTTTCACATCAATAGCTACCAAGTATTATTGATACAATCAATTAATTATGAGAGTAATTATATTTTCTCTTAGTAATGAAACAAATAATCTTGCTATAGCCCAGGTTTATGTAGATAGGACTCAAGTCTGCCACATATGTAGTAATGAAAGGCTATATGGTTTTTATGGATTTTTTACTGTAATGCATTTCTTTAAATTATACTCGTCTTGCACACTATTTCTCAAATAGTAAAGCATTACAACACCTAGCTGATCTCAAAAAGCTAAGCAGGGTTGGACCTGATTGATATTTGGACTGGGGACTAGCAGGAAACTCAAAGTTTGCAGGTTAGATGTGGAAGTTAAAAAAAAGCATCCTCTTCCATATAGTGAAAATGCTAAATATATGGACATCAGCAGGAGTTGAGTTCTACTCAAGGAAATCATCTTTACATTAAAGAGCCTTTAAAATGTTTTCTGTCACACATGGAGTGGCTTACTGGTAGGTATCGTAAAGTTTCTATTTTCCAGATTGATTTCCTGAGATATACCCCATTAAATTCAATGGACTGAACTTCTGAGTAGATGTGTACCATTGTGCTGTCAAGACAACTACCCAAGATGGCTGTGGATCTTTTCTGCAGCATTAATATCAACCTTTCTCTCTTTTTTCACTTTTTTTGGTAAAGCACTTTTAATGTTTTTTCCCCCCTTTGGCAATATATGTATCTCCATCATTACTATCATTGTGTTTTGCTTTTTTTTCCTTTTTCTTGTTATTAATTAAAAAGCAATAAAAACAAATAAATAAACAACCTTTCTGAACTGACGGCTGCTAAGGAAAGGGGGAATCCCCTCTAATCAGCCCCGGTTAGATCATTTTCAGATTCTCTCCCACACATTATATGTGAAATGAATGGAATTCAATTGTGCACAAATTATTTCCATGTGACTAGAAGAATCTGTGAAAAGATGTGCTGGGCTGACTAACTGAAGCAGATGTTACAAGCACTCTGGGCAGTATCTTGAAGGATATCAAGGTTCCCTCCGTTCTTTTAAAAGAATGAATGAATGAATGAATGAATGAATGAATGAATGAACGAACAAACAAACAAACAAACAAACAAACAAACAAACAAACAAACAAACAAACAAACAAACAAACAAACAAACAAACAAACAAACAAACAAACAAACAAACAAACAAACAAACAAACAAACAAACAAACAAACAAACAAACAAACAAACAAACAAACAAACAAACAAACAAACAAACAAACAAACAAACAAACAAACAAACAAACAAACAAACAGCACCTGGAGCTGTGGTCCTTTTACTTACATATCATCGGGAGCAAAATCTGGCCTCCCCATATGATATCCTTCTTTTACAAGGCTATAAAACTTGCTATTCACTTTCATGCCAGGATAGGGACTTCTTCCTATAAACACAAGAAAACAGGTAATGCTTGAATTAGAGAAAGGACCCTGCTGTTCTAGTGTGCTTTCAGACAGACCTAGTTAAAATTTCTTAGGAGCCAGCTTCACCTCGGTCATTCTTCACAGGCTGTTTGAGAGCGAAATAGGAGGAAACAGAGGTATCTGTTTCCTTCTATTTTGCTCTCAAACAGCCTGTGGTAAGTAGGTAAATGTAGCCTAGGAGCTACATTTCTTCATCCCATCCTGCTTGGGGTTTGCAAGGGTCATGTCTAGTGTACGGAGATGAAAGTTTCTAATTGTTTTTCAGAGTAAAAATATCTAATTTTTCGACTGAGGTTTAAGGGATGAAATTTTGCCTATTGAAACCCACCACCAATGGGAAATACCTACCTGGTTTAAGGCGACTGAAAATTTTGAAGGAGCGCTATAAAAACCTTTCATTCCTGAAAACTTTTCTCAAGTCCTCAAAATGAAGTGTCCCCTTCCACATGTCTGCAGCAACCCAAGACTGCATTAAAATGATGACACACATACAGTAATGTCATGGTGCAAAAACTGCTCTCGCATGTTGGCATCCCTATGTACAATGCAAGTGTGTAAGTGATATTTATGCATCGTGATGTGGATGCACAGGCACGAAACCAAAGGCTTTGCATTTTTGACAAAGGCTTTCCACAAAGAGGCAGGCAAAAAATTGGATCTTCCCTTACCTAGGGAGAATATCTCCCAGAGAAGGATGCCATAAGACCACACATCGCTCTGTATTGTGTAGACACATTCAAAGATGCTCTCCGGCGCCATCCATTTCACTGGCAGGCGAGCCTGGAATGATATGGTCCAAACTCAGAGAGGAGGAAGCCCTTATGCTTAGCATTCTCCACCAGGACTCTTTAGAGGCTAAACATTAGAGCACATCCCTGGCATGCAGATGATCCCTGAGATTTCCAGGTACATCTGGGAAGGATGCTTAGACAGCTGCTATCAGTCAGTACAGACATTTCACAGCGAGGTAAAACTACCGCTTGACACAGCTTGATGGAACCCATAGATTCATTCCAATTACTTACATTGCCTTTGACAACATAATTAGTATCATTCATAATGTCTCTGGCCAGGCCGAAGTCACAGATCTTGGCCACTAGTCCATCAGCCACTAGCACGTTCCGTGCTGCCAAATCTCGATGAATGCACTGGATTCAAGAAAGAGAGAAAGAAAGGAGTAAATTAGATTTTCTTGCTCTTCTTGACTTTTGCTTCAACCTATGGCCACAGCTTGATTAGTGGCATGGCAGATTTAGCCTGGTTTTTAGCAGTGCAAGTCCAGTCAAAAGTCTTCAGCATGGTACCTACGAGTGCTTCTATGTGGTTTGGGCCACTGGAATTAATAGAATCTAGAATAATGGGAGGCCCTTTACTATGGCCTTGAATGCCACCTTTAAGCTATAGTAATTCTGAAGACTTACATAGGAAAAGCAGATGGGAAAAAGTACCATTTGGGACATCTTGTACAGAAAATCAACTCACTGTGCCAATATATCCACAAAAGATTTAACCATCTGTGGATGTTTGCACTGAGTTTGGCTAAAGCTATCTATTTCGTGGAGGACAGCCAGATGACTGGTTATTTATTTGAAGTTTTCTGTCACTTTGCTGTTCTGAGTTTGAATTTTTTATGCTGCTGCTCTTAATTACACTATTTTTATATGTGGATGATGTCTATATTTGAATTAATTATTTTTAAGATATTTTTGTGAACGGTCTCCAGTTGATTTTTCTCTCTGAAATGGAGATGGGCATTAAAAGATCAAAATACAGATACACTTGGTGGTTCTTTCCTTTCTTATAAATGTTTCTTTGCAGTTTTCCCTCCCTCAGTGGATTCATTATTTAAAGGTTGAGAGATCTATTAGGGTGCCACATAGGCAGTGTCCCATTCAGCCACACAACACTCGTACAAACTCTGAATAGGTAGAGTGGGAAAGAACTATTATTTTATAGAGTCTCTGTCTCAGTCACTAGATTCCATGTTGAATATAATTTTTTTGGACAACTTTTGCTGTAACAGAGAACCAAAGAGAGTGCTCTTGTCACTATGATTTATAAGATGAGGGTCAGAAACCCTCAACTGTCACTTTCAGTTTCTACTGCTGGAAAGGGTGGGGGTTGCTAAAGCTAAAGTTTATGTTAGTTTGCCCCCTGCTTCCTACAGAGTCAGCCTCTAAACAAACACATATTATTCAAATAGCTGTCCAGAGTTTGTATGTTAGATGGGCAAGCATATACATTTTCTCAATCAATCAAAATGTTTTTCCATTTGTGCTGGTTAGAAAAGAGAGGCACAAATGGTAAAACAGTGTTCATATTATCCTTAACAGGATTGTCTGCTCACTTACATCCCCCCCCCACTGTTATCAAAAGCCATGCAGAGTTGTGCCTTAAAGATGCTAGTGTAATCCAAAAGGATGCTTCCAAGTACAACTCTCTAAGAACAAATTCTTAGAATATACTGTACATGTATCATTTCAGGAATTGCAGCACTACCAGCCAATAGGGTTGCATATTTTTCTGTGCAACAACAACAACAAAATTCCTTCCTGGTAGAAAGTTAATACAGGAAATCAAACTTGGGCTTCAGCTCTTTTTAGGATGATGTGATGCATTCTCAGCAGAGGGTCCTCACATTTTTTGAAGCCAGGAAAGTCATTCCCTGGGCCACTTGGTTAGAGAACTGCAGCAAGTCAAAGAGGTCGAGAGAATGTGAATCTTCTGTTCCTTGAGCTGAAATCGAACTTCTTCCTGGATTGGGAGAAAGTTCATGGAGATCAACACAGGTATGCCTTTGCAGGGTAGGGAAACTGCATGAATGACACTTAGCAGTAAGACATTAAAATAATAAAGGTCAAAAAGTATAAAACTCAAGAGAGGTGAAATCTTCTGAATCTGAAATTACCTGTGATAACAAAGGCTCCCCACCTAGAGACTAAATGTAAGTAATTCCCAAGAAACTAATGGAGTTACGTTTCAGTGGGCACTTGCAAGAATGAACTGGAAATTATTGAGCAGAAGGAGATTTAGTTGTTATGTTCTCTTTGCTCATCCATAACTGGCCTACCTATATAGGTTTTGCTTATCTATGGACTTCACATATAAAGGACTGCTTTGTATTTGGAAAGGAGTTTTGAGCCAAAAATGTATACACCCAAACAGCTTTAATTGTGAAGTTCACCCTTATAAATGATGATTAAAGTATATAAGTGACAAAAGCGGCAAGTGATACAGATGCAATTCATGAACAATGGTTTGCATGCAAGATGACTTCCAACTGAAAATGGTAAAGCTATGCATGCTTCAAATAGAATTTGGAAAAAGTGCTTTCAATTTTGTGTGAACTATCTTCATTAAAGCAGCTTGTCATTTTTCATTTTGTTCCGCATAAGCCTGGAAAAAAAAGTTGCAGCTTCTTTAAGAAAACCTCTCATTAAAGTTAATACAGCATATAAAGTAGCCATAATGTTTTTTTCAGGCACACATGCAGACTCCCTAAAACATGCTGACCCTATAAGAAACTTGAGGAACCAAGCAAAGTCTGAATGAATGGTGTACTCTATAAATATTACAAAAGAAAAGAAAAAGAAAAAGGGGAGCATATAAAATACCCCACACAACCCTCCCCCACCCTCGCAGCATACAGAAAAATCATCTTGAGATTTGGCTCTTCTGATAGGGGTGTGAGAGCTATGAATCTGATGCACAGACCCTGCACACACTGAAATCTGTGTCGTGTCTGTAATTGAGGAATTGAAGTATAGCTGTACAAACCACATTACACCACAGAGCAAGTTTTACCTATGGCGATATCTATATCTCCTGCATTATTCTGTGTCCATGTGCAGTACTGGGAATATTTAAGGACAACAATTATAGATAGTAATTATGTATTAAATGTCCCATCCATCCCAGAGATGAAATGTTCCGTTTTTCCTGGACCACACTGAGCTGGCTGGCCTGAAACGTTTCCAGAAGTAAATCATTCAGAATGGGAGGCTGTTTTTAGTGTTCCAAACAGAGAACAGCCAGATTGGCATGGTCTGGGAGACAAATGTAATGCTCTGGAGTTCTCCAGATGGGACATATTTATCCAGTGCTTGCTATTCCAGTAATAAGGGTCCTTGGCCAAAGACCACAATGAATGGGCCACCAGCAGGAGCGGCTGTATAAAAATCTTCTACTGTGAGGGAACACTGCTTATAAGGCAAAAAAGCAGGAAGAAGATAGACGCACAGAACCATAATATTGACAGCTTATGTAGATGCTAATTAACAAAATATTTGCGAGAAGGATCAATGAGGGAGAATGAGTAAGTAAAACCTAGTTCAATTGATAAATGATTAAACAACAGAAAAGATTGGAAAATTATATACTGCGAAAGGAAGGGAAGAAATAGGAAGAAAAAAAGGAATGGAAAGTTAGATAGGCAAACTGAAGGAACTTATTTCAAAAGATCCCTGGCAAGAGAGACTACCACCACACAGAAACCGAACTATTCAGAAACTGTGTCTGGGTAACAATGAGGCGGTGAGTGCCAAAACAGCAAATAAACACGTTTCTGGCTTTCCAGCTTCCACAATCTTGATACCAATCCAAAAAGTGGCAACCGGGGACATGATTGTCTATCCCTGCATCCGATTCACCTTCCTCCAAAGGCAAACACATGCAAGCCCCACAGTATACTATTAAAAAAAGAAAGAAAGACAACTCTGTTGTTTCTAGCCTGCAGTGCTCCCACTTGACTCACCTGAAGCCAAGTTCTGCAGAGGATTTTTAATTAGGGACAGGGCACATTAGAAAAGTCCATCCTTACTCAAATGATCCATCTGCTCATTGAGTTTGGACTTTGGGTCAAATCAGAACAGATCCCTAGCATATCAGACCTTGTGCAGAGGGTGGTGTTAAGTGAACTAATATTACTAAATTTGTAATAAAATTAGTGTTTAACTTAATCACTTAAGCTTTATTTCCAGATTTTAAAAAATGTATATTTTGCTGAATTTCATATATTAAAAATATGGGGTTTTAACTCTTGTCAAGCTCAGATCCTTACGTTCTGCAAAGAACTATTTGATAATCAGAATATTTTTGAGTGCATGACATTTTCAAGATCTAGACTAGGAAGTTTTGCCCTCAGCTGCAAAATTCACTGTGACTGAGACAGGGATGCTATTAAGCTGTTCAATCCAGAATATTCACATTTTTCTGAATTACATGTAATCTTTTGTCATTCCATGCTGAATAAAACAAAACATACAATTTTTTAGAACTGAAGACAGGAGACAAGCTGGCAGGAAGTTTGGCAGAAGTAGCCAGAAGACTCTGGGGAAATCAGAGGGCAGGCAGGAGGAAAGATTGGTAGCATCAACAGGAAGATGCTGGGAAGATTGGGAGACAGTGGGGCCATTGGCAGGAAGAACTATTTGATAATCAGGAACATCTGGGGTACATCTGAACCTCATGTTTGTTAATTTAGATTACACCGTGGCACAGAAACACAGCTCTCAGCCAGTTAAGCTTACCTTACATACCCATTATGAAGATAAGAGGGCCGGGTTGCACTGAGTTCTCCGTCGAGAAAAATGCATAATAATAAACAAACAGCAATCTAGCCAAAGTATTGGTAATGGTGCTAAATTTCTAGAACAGACATATCCCTTTTTGGTGTGTCTTTCCATTTCTCTTGGCAATGATCCTTGAATGTTACCTTGTGCTGGCATAGGCACTGATGCTGCGACTGATTTCATTTCCAGATAGCTGTCAGCACCTTGGCATCCTAGTCCACTATCGCTGAATGAAAGAGATCAGAAGAGGAAAAAACATTAATTGTTTCTATCTGCTTCAAGACCAGATCTTTCCTGCCAAATAGTCAATACACTTTGGTTTGATTCTAGAAGCTGTGTTGGGGAAGTGGGTAGAGCTGTTCCACACACAGGGACGAGGCAGGAGTTTCTCCCTGACTTCCCTGGAGTAAATAAAGGAATTTTTTCCCTTTACTTTCAGAGTAAAAAGTTGTACATAGCCAACTTTAGGCTCGAATTTCTGTGTGTGTCTTGCCTTAAAATGTTGGGGAACTGTTTAGGTGATTTTTGTCAGTTACGGTTGGAATGATCTCCAGAGTCTACAAAACAGGGATTTGGGCTTACATGTGGCCCTGGATCTCAGGTTACCCATATATGTCTTAAAATAGAATTGGAGTCTCTACTAGAGATTGCAATACAATAATTGCTTAATTTTTTTTTTTTTGCACGCTTAACAAATACTCTGCCATTAAATGCCAGTTGTGTTAACATCACAGTTTTACACCCCATATAAGTAGGGGTCACAGATGACTAACTTATTACCTTCTTTGGACGTATTTTTTTCCAAGGTAGATATTTTTGTAATCAGCCATCATGCTATCAAGAGTAGATTCCAAGGCTAAATCCTGGATTATGAGATTCTCGGCTTTTTTTCTCAAGAAATTCAGCAAGTCCCCATATGGACAATACTCAGTAATTACAAGGACAGGGCCTAGAAAACAGAAAAGAAACATCACCAGAAAGTACATTCTTTTTTCTGCTAAATAGCAGTATTGATCAGTGAAGTCCTGTTCCTAGACCCTGCCCTATGGAAGAATCACAGCGTTGGAAGTGACCTATGGGTCAGCTACTCCTACCCTCTACTTAGTACATGGCTGGCTGGGGAATTCTGGGAGTTGAAGTCCACACATCTTAAAGTTGCCAAGGTTGACATTGCACTAGAACTTTGTAACAGAGGACCATCTGCAAATTTGAGGAAACAAACAATAGGCAAATAGTACTTCCCCCTTTTACTTCATCTCCTGCACATCCTCAAATCACTTATGCTCGTACTTTTGGTGGGGGGTGAGTTAGGGGACACATAGAGAAGCATAGATTGAAACATTTGGAGCATTTTAGAAAATAAAGGGTTAAGTAGCACTACCTCATGCTGTTTCTTCAATCAGGCTAGTAACTTAGACTGTTCTGAGTTTTAAAAAAATTGGGTGAGACAAATTGTTAATGTGAAATATGTACTTTGACACCCCCCGCCGCCCCATAGGCTATGCAATCATGTCTTGCAGTTCTTGTTCAGCTGTACCATTTAAGATTAGATGTAGCAAAGTGTTTGGAAATTGGGCCAGTGAATTTAGCATCACACAGTTCTATTGCCTGAGTGGTTGGTTTTTAGGGGCTGAGTGATAGATAAAGAACTGGAAAAAAGAGGAAAAGAAAATGGCTTTGAAAAGCACTGTGAGCAGAGATCATAAAGTGAAAGTGGTGTTACTTTTCAGTTTGTTCTTATTCATTCAAGACAGATTGCTCTGAAGGAGAATATAAAAATAAAGTATCTCTCAAGTTGAGCTCAACTTCTAGTATGCCAGATGTTTTAAATTCCTGAATTAAACCATTGGTGGCCTTTATAGCTTGATGGGGATTTGACATTTTCAAATAATTATTTAATCAAGTGGTGATTGTCATCTTCATGTGGAAACCTATGATTCAACAAGTTACTGAAAAGAAAGAAGACAATATTTCTGTGAACCAGAAAGGAAATGATGGGAAGAATAGTTACCTCCATGGGTACATGCTCCTAGAAGATTGACAATATTCCCATGATGACCCAAATGGCTCATGATCTTCAGCTCAGACATAAGAGCTTCTTGCTCATCTGTATGTGCTGTTGCTGAAACCCAATATGAGAACCATTAATTTGAAGTCAAATATGGGAGCAGGATATAGGAAATGGACATGATACCTGAAACGAAAACACCAGGTAATGGGAAGGCACCAAGTTAGAATCATCCAGTGGAAGGGTTGGAATGGATCTAGTCCAAACTTGGGCCAGTGTAGGAGCCCATTTCTGCAACAGTAATGGTTGGGAAAGACTTACCTTGGGCATCTGCATACCTTACAACAGGGATACATAATTCCCAGATTCCCTTCTGTGGCCCTCTCTGAGTCACTGAAATAGGTAGGACCAAACAATGGAAGAATAATGAAATTCCCACAATGGAGGAATGGATTGTAAAAATGTCAGAACTTGCAGAAATGGCAAAACTGACCTATTTGGTCAGAGAACAAGCAAACTTTTTTGAAAGACTGGAAACCTTATATGGACTTATTGTTGAAAGAAGAAAAAAATGAATTGTTGATTTATGGATTGGAAGATTAAGAAAGATGTGGACTAAACAAGGGGGTGAGGAGATTTATAAAATATTTAAGAAGGAGGAAGGACAATAAGAATGTAAGTATCTGTTGAAAAGAAAGTCAAAGTCACTTCTATATTTCTTAACTTTAGTTTTCTTTTTTCTTGCACTGCTCTTTTTTTTTTCTTTTGGTTTGTCTTTTATCATAAGAAAAGTCTTAGTAAACATAAATTTTAAAAAAGGAAATAAATAGGGGCAAAGAGAAGAGACAATGGATAGAAAAAAGAAAGCAGTCTTTCAGCCATTCTCGTTCACAGGAGCCTTTCTGATCTGGTACTTACATTTCAGCATTTTCACTGCCACTTTCAAGACAGAATCTTCCTTTCCCAGTCCAAAAGCTGTGGCTTCAACCACCTTCCCAAAAGCTCCAGCTCCAAGGACTTTTCCTGTGAAGCAAACGCAGTGTCTTCTTAATTATTAAGTATAATATTCCATGTGAATTTCATGTTTTTCTTCACTGAAATTCCTTGTTGCATATCAATTATTGTACTTCAATTCTGCATCCATTTGATTATACGGTCTTTAACTTGTTCAATTTCTGAGTTATATTTCACCAACAATTTCTAAATAAGGCCCAGCAAATGCTCTGCATTTTCCATTACAATGTCTTCAAATTCAGTCAAATCTCTAACTATTCTGCCTTGTTTTTATTTATTTATTTATTAAATTTCTCCCCACCCATCTGCCCCCAATGGAGAACTCTGGGCGGCTCACACAAAACATTAAAACCATAAATATATATAAATACATAAAACATAAAAATTTAAA